CAGGGGGTGGAACTGGATGAGTTTTAAGATCCTTTCCAAGCCAAACCACTCTGGGATTCTGGGATCAGTAGGGTTTACCCAGCTGTGTAATGAGTTGTCTCAGCAGCTCTAGGAAATAATAAAACCACTCCAATTAATACAAAGACTTGAGGAGAAGCAGGGCCTGCACTTCCTCTGAGCAAGGCCAGAACTGTCACTTCAAACACACTTCAAAGGCCCACTGCCTGCCTAAGATCATTTGTTTCACTGTATTTAAATAACAAACATCCACAAAAAAAATTCTTGAAGTCTGTTCATCCTTCTTGCTAGTGATAATCCATCAGAAGTGTGAGGAACACCAGGAGCATCCTGCTCTGTAGCCATCACAGCCACTTCTGGAAAATCCTGCCATTAAGGGACTCCAGATCTAACAGATCAATCCTTCTAAACAGTTTTTAGGAGTTTTTTCTTATTTTTTGATAGATGCCCATTTAAAAAAGAAATCAGCAGACATAGATCTAAGCTTCCCTCTCCCAGCTCAATAGGGTCTCTTTATTTATACAAGCAAAGAAAATTCAAATGCAAAGATTTTGATGTTTAAGTTGGTATTTTTTTAAAAAAAGCCTCCAGCAGGTGCACAAATTGTGTGTTTCACAGGGATTTAGAGAGTGTAATCCCCTTAGGCTGCTCTGAAAATTGCAGCCTATTCTTAGTTCCTGTCAGTCCATGTCAGCAAAATGGTTGTTCTTCATTATGATATTTTAATACTTGGCAGTGTTAATTGAGGTTAAGCTCAGGTTGTATCCAGAATGCTAAAAAAAAATAAAATTAACCTGACAGAAAATGAAAGTCTTTTGAAAATAATACGGAAAAATGTGTGAAAAACTGGAGATGAGATCTCCTTTCCAAGGAGAGACGTAGACAGAGAAACTGAGCTCACCTACATCCATCCTTGCTCCAGAACCTTTGAGGCCTGGTTGGACAGGGCTTGGAGGACCCTGGGATAGTGGGAGATGTCCCTGCCCATGGAATTTCGTGGGATTTAAGGTCCTTTCCAACCCAAACCAGTCTGGGATTCTGGGATTCCATGACCCGCCCAAGCTCTGCACATCCAGATGGAAACAGAAAATACAGGATCTAAGGAACAGAGGATGAAGCTCTGGAGCAAGGGCTCTTCCTCAGTGGACATGAGAACAATCACATCCAAAACAGGCTGAAACTCCAGGAATAACCCCTGGCAGCCACACCAGGCCAAACCCAACTTCCATTTCTCCAAAAAGGCGACAGATTTTCTGTAGGAAAGTTTGCCTTGTGAAAGACTTGACATTTGAAAGAATTTATTTTTACCCAAAAAAAAACCAACTGGTTTAGTAATGAAGGACAAAGTTTTTGGTCTCTCTCCTACAATGGAATACTTTCCAAATTATTTTTAGGAGGAAGGAAGAAAAGCAGCTTATTCAAACACTGCATGGCACAAGGAAAGCATCATCACCCAGAACTCTGCTCTCAAATCACTCCTAGGAGTCAAAACTGATGAAAACTCTGTTTTCCAGGAAGTCTGCACTGAAAATCAACCTCATTGCCTAAAACCTGCATGGCAATGCTCTGCCAGTAGTGAAATCCTTGCTGGCATGAAGGAGACGAATTCCATGCAAGTGTTTGTGTAGATAATTATGTGAAAACAAGAAAGTGAAAGTCCAAAGCCCTGAGGTACCTATCAACAGCAAAATTCTTTCATGAGGAGTTTAATTTTTATAGAAATAATTGAATTTACACTGTTCTAACACTCACATAATTCAGTCCTGGCTAAAGAGCTCTGAAACTGCCAGATGGAAACCAAACACTGGGACACCATGGAGTGTTCTTGGGGCTTTCAGGGAATTTTAACAGGATCACTTAAAGAAGGTAATAATAGAAAATACGCAAAAATCATCTCTGAAAAGCTAAAAATACTCAGTAAGGAAAAACTGCTTTAAGAAAATTTAATCAAGGATTAATTCCAACTAGAAAACGAATATATCACTGTAACAAGTGAAGACTGAGAATTGCAAAGATGCTAAAACCAAGCAGAGCTGAATGTGGCAGTTAAGAGATCAGGATTTCAAACTCATCATCCAAAAATCATCTCATTTTTAAATAATTACATCCAAGGATGTAAGTATTCATTTTCATCAGCTTAACGAGCCAGCCTTATACCAGCAAATATGCTTTTAAGTATATGGAAATCTAGAATTATTATGCATTTAAAGACCGTCAAATCATAGAATTGTTTGGGTTGGGAAAACCTTCAAGATCATCCAGTTCCAGCTGTTTGCAGGGCTACAAAGATGAATGAAAAAGTCCCAACTGGAAAACAACTTTAAACAAAAAAACCAAACCAGCTGGCACCAGCACAGGGTGTTTATGGCTTTACCTATAAAGAGCAGAGCCACATCCCTCTGAAGGCAGCTATTGACTCTCCTTTATGTCCTCAGTAAATAAAAGCCTTCCCCAACTCATCTCTAGATTTTAAATGTTGTATCTTTAGTTAGAGCTTTTAGGAGCTGATCAATAGCTTGGAAAAAAACCCATTTTACAAGTCTCAGGTTCATAGCAGGGACAATTTGAATGTCAGCTTCTGCAAGGTTTGAAGAGGGGAAATGAAAATCAGGAATTGCTTCTCGTAGAGAGGATAAGAGCAAATATAAACCAGGAGTGGGGTTTTCCCATAAGGAAGAGCACACCAAATGGACATTTTGATTGGTGTGCAGGCTTCTGCACACCTGAAGGAGGGTGGGTTTGATGCTGTTTTGGTTTTTGCCTTTTTTCCTTTTCTGTGTCCTCTGTATTCTCTGCACATACATTTGGAGCTCTGTAACCTGTTATATTAATGCCTAATGTACCAATAACTCTCCATGACTGTTCCCTAGACAAAAACCAGCACAAATTCCAGAACTCCAAGCCCTGAGAAATACAAGACCCCTATCCTAGGTTGGTTCTTCCTAACTACCAAGGCTGAGAACGATTCTCCAAGATACATTTCCTGGACAAAGTACAGCTTAGTGCCTAACTCCAGAAAAGGGACTCAACCTGGAGAAGACTGCACCACCCCCTGTCCTCCTAATTAGCACATTCATCAATTATGTTAATTTCCTAAAACTTATAAAAATGTACTCACCACATTGAGGATAGACTTTTGTAGACACCTCTCCATAACTGTCCCTGAAAGCCTTCAATAAAAATCCATTTTTATATTACCTCCTACCCTAAATTTATCACAAAGTTCATTTTCCAGGTTGGGAAAATGACAACAGGGTTGGATGGGATATTGGGAAGGAATTTTTCCCTGGGAAGGTGGGGAGGGGCTGGGATGGAACTACCAGAGCAGCTGTGGCTGCCCCTGGATCCCTGGCAGTGCCCAAGGCCAGGCTGGACACTGGGGCTGGAGCACCTGGGACAGGGGAAGGTGTCCCTGCCATGGCTTTGAATTGAATTTCAAATCCCTTCCCACCCAAACCATGCCATGGTTCTGTGATGTGGCTTTTGTGTGATGTTAAAAATCAGCAACGTTTGCAATGTGAGCATGTTCCTCTGATTAAAAAGCAATTTTGAGGCCAAACAACAACAACCATCTGGAACAGCAAGAACTCCACACTGCATTTTGCTTTTAGAAGGAAAAAAAAATGTCTTAAAGCAGATTCACCTTCTCATGAACTTCTGTTGGTGCCACCACAGTGCCAGGAGCTGCACCCACAGCCCCAGAGCCTGCGGCTGTGCCACCACCCCAGCCACTGCTAATCCTTAAAATCATAAAGGAAAGTGACACAGGCCCAGCTGATCATTTTCTGAGCTACACAAACAGCCTGCAGCACCTCAGAAATGCTGATTTTCCATCCTGGGGACAGGCACATCAAACAGTTGGTGCAGAATTTCCCATTAACACTTGATATTACATAGGCTGGATATTTTGTCAGGTACAAATTAACCCTTTTTATTTTCAAATGCTGGATTTTTTTTTATTTTTGCTCATTGTCAGAGCAGCAGAGGAGCTCTGTCCCTGCAAGGGCAGGGAAGGAGCAGAGATGCCCCTGGTTAAGCAAAGCAGCCCTAAATAATTGGAGGTCAACCAGCTGAACTGCCTGTGCTTGAAGCAGAACCTCACTCCCTGAAGGAATCCTGACTTGGATCTATTTTCCACATCTCCAAAGTTCCCTGGAAAAATTATTTCCCCACTTCTTCTAAAAACAACTTTGAAGAAAGGTTGCTAGCACTTGTTTGTATGTAACAAACTGAAATTAACTTCAAAAGAGTCTAAATTTGTGATTTTACAAAGAAAAATCTAAGTACCAATGCACAAATATTGAATTAACAATTTTCATTTTAAATTCATCTGCATGCCAGAATATTCATGTTCACAGGCAAGTGTTCTATTTTCATGAAATATATTTCTTTTAATGAAATTTCCATGTATTAAAAAATACCTGCATATCTTTAAAACCCCTTTTTAATTAAAAGTGACCAAGGCAGAGACAAGCACGGAGACAGCAGGTAACTGAGAAGTCACTGCTGCAAGAGACTTCAAACCAGAGTGTGACAAAGCACAGCTGCAGGCTAAGGGAGCACAGGAAATGTCATTTCAAAGGCATTTTCTTCCTTTTAACACATAAACATCGCCACAACAAATCTTCAGACCTCACTGAGAGGCACAAAATTCCTAACCAGATCTTACTTTGCATTATTATAGTCTGTACACTCCTCCTGATGTAATGGATTTTGTGTTTTGATTTATTGCTTCATGCTCAGAGTTTGGGTAGAGTGAAAGTGGAGAAAATAATAACACACCCCAAAGAAGTAACTTCTTAATTTAAGCTGAATGTGCCATTTTTGATGCTATTTTCCTAATGTCTGGATTTTTACATTCAATGATCAAGGTAAAAAAAAGAAAATCACGAAATTCTGATCATTATGAAAATGGTCATGGAAGGCCAAAACTTGTTAAAATAAATAACTTTTTTACTGATGCCATGTTCTTGTCTTTGCAGGCTTTCCTATCGGACCGGCCAGGACACGGCCAATTGTGACACATGCAGGAACAGTGCATGTATTATCTACAGGTAGGTTAAAAACACCAATATTTCCATTTTTCCCTGGGGGAAAGCAATGATTCAGTCACTAATGCAGGCTCAGAGATTGGCCTTTATGTTCCAATCAACACAACAGAAATTTGACTCCACTAAAGTCATAAAATTCAACATTTGTGGAAGAGTAAATCAGACAGAGACGATTGTGGGCACAGAGCTGTGGGGTGGGAGGTGTTACAAGATTTTTAAATTTTACATTGTTTTTAAATTGCTGGAGGTATTTCTGATATTCTGACCAACAAGTCAACTTCAATTTTACTTTTATACACTTCTGTACCTACTTTAGATTTATTTTCATGGCAATAACAGCTGGACTTGGGAAGCCACTGGAAAGAGGGTTTGTAAAGCAAAGAGAACCAGATACAGATCCCATCTACAGTTCTAGAGTAAAATCAGGGATGGATGGGATATTGGGAAAGAATTGTTCCCTGGGAGGGTGGGAGGAGCTGGGATGGAATTCCCAGAGCAGCCCTGGGTGTCCCTGGATCTCTGGAAGTGCCCAAGGCCAGGTTGGAGCAGCCTGGGACAGTGGAAATGTCCCTGCCCTGGGGCTGGAATGAGATGAGCTTTAAAATCCATCTCAACCCAAACCATTTAATATTCTGATCTTATACACTGACGTTCCTACCCAGTTTGGGTTTGTTGTTTTGGGGTTTTTTGGCACATCCAGTGAAGGAATAACAGGCACTGGGTGAAGCCATCATGAGGCTGACAATGTTTCACCCTGGCAGCTTCATTGTCCTCCCTCTCTGGAGCCCCAAAAAATCCACCTGACTGTTTCCAGGGGAGGTGAAAACAAACGTGGCTCAGGCTTTCAGCAAATCAGGCAGTGCAGCACAAATGAAAATGCACAAATATACCAATTCCAGTGGAGACAGAAACTCAAATGAAGGTACCAGTGTAGGATTTCCCCCTTCACTCCTCAACTCTCTGCTCAGCCAGCTTTAGGCAGAAGAGCTGGAGCTATTTATTTATAAATTTTCTCTTCACTGCACAGAAATAAATAAAAAACGATGGAAACCTCCAGCTCCACCTTACAGCTGACCACAACAGGGTTTTGTGCAGGGCCAGAAACCAATAAATGTCTTTGTTCCTCCTTTTCAGCCAAGTTCAGAAGCACAGAAACCCCCAAAGCCTCCAGTGCCTCCCTTTTCCTGTGCAATTCCTGCCTCAGAGCAGCCTGGAGGTACAACACACCACAACTCCATCAGGGAATTCTCCTTGTTTCATTAGCTAGGAAAAAAACCCAATTAAGAAATTTTTGTAAATCTTCATTTCTACTCAGTGGATTTCAAGTTAAGGAAACTTCCAGCTTCCATTCTTGCATTCAATGTGAACCAAATCCAGAAACGCAAGTTGGGAGAGTTTTCCTGCTGAGAGAGGGCAGCTCCTGCTGCCCATTCCCACCTGGAATTGACAGATCCTGCTGCCCATTCCCACCTGGAATCCCTTTGGATATTTGCCTCAGGCCCTGTTTGCAGGGGATTTCTGAGCAAACACCAGCTCAGCTTTGTGCCAGTTTAGGAGAATTCCTGCTGCAGGCAAGAAATCAGAAAGCAGAGATGCAGCAAAGCAGGGGAGGCAGGAGCAAAGGGGATTATGGAGACAGGATAAACCAGAAGGGATAAACCAGGAATTCACAGATAAAAACAGCCCTGGGATGTCCTGGAGGAACTTCTGAACACCTCTGGGAAAAGGCAGCAGCTCCTGAGTCAGGCTGGGATTAAATCCAGGTGCTCCTTTGCCAAGGGTTTGCGTGGAAAATGCTGCAGGGAGTGACCTGGGCTCTCTTTAGGGCAAAACAGCTTTTAGGAACAGAAATTAAAGCTGCTCAAGGTGCCAGAAATCCCTGGATTCTTGGAAGGCACTGGACCTGTCAGCAGGAGGTTCTTAGTCTAGAGCTCTTTTTCCCAATTAACATAGGAGAGACTGAAAATATATATAAATAAATATATTTAAATTTATCCCATATAAATATATAATATATATACTTATAGATATTATATTACATGTATGCATATATTTTTATATATTCTACATAATGAATTATATTAGATACAATTATATGATAATAAATAAATATGTTATTATAATAGTAAATAAATATTATATTATTATAATAATTATATACATAGAATTAATTTATCCCATAAAGGCATTAATATATAAATAATGCCCTTATGGGATAAATCAATATTTACAGAAATCCTTCACTTTGCCTTTAATTGACTGTGTGGGTTTTTGGATTTTGATTCAATTTTGGACATTGTAACACTGAAAAAAATATTTACAGCTGTTTCAAATCTTTATTTTCAAACAGCATCTTAAAGGAATGGTTAAGTTACCCAAGGCACAGCACAGGTGAGGAGGCAGAAATTGATGGAATTAAATTCTTCCCCCTCAAGATGAATTTCAGAGTATTGATATAATGGAGCACAATAAACAGAGACAGTGGAGAAGGCGACAAAAAACCCCTGCTGTGCTTTAAAGGGTTTTCAGCATCCAAAATATCAATACTGTCAGGAAAAAATTCTAAGAAGAGCCTTCTGGGAATACAGTTATTTTGCATATTAAATGTAAATGTTTTTGTTAGTATTAAAAATCTATTTTCTATTATTTTGTCTTTATATTGAGAAGAATAACTATTTCTTAAATAAAAAAGAAAATACTTCTAAAAACAGAAAAAGGAAAATCACATTACTTGAAAAAACGAGGAAGTAAACAGGAAACTGATCAAACAGTAAACAGTATCAAAAAGACAAATTAGCAAAACCTGAAGCTGCTTTGAAAATCAGGAAGAAAAGAAAGACATTCCCATTTGGATATTCCATTTTCCTCAAAATTCTACTTATTTCTGCAGTATGTTCAGGAACTTGGAACTCCAGAGCCAGGAATCACTCAGCTTCTCTCACTGCACCAGAGCAGCCACAGCCTTACAACTGTCACTAAAAAATATTCTTTGTAGCCATGTTCAGGCAGAATTTAAAACAGAAACCAAAACTGTGATTACATTATTAAAAAACCCAACCACCTTATTTTATCCAGCAGTTTCAATAATCATGAGGTCACAGAACACTTCCAAAATCATCTGCTACAAACACAACACAAATTTCTGTCTGATGCCGATGCCCCATGGACATTTTTAAAGACAGAAAAGAAGTTTAATCAGGGGTATTGCCAGGATAAAGTCAATTTAAACACTGAAATATTTAAATAAAAATTCTGTATATGGCAGTAAATATGCAATTTTTACAGTGCAGTAAAACTTGCTGTTAAGAAGGAATTGCATTGAAATGCACAAACTGTAGCAATTCTGAAAAAGCCCAAACCCAGGTGGACTGAAAGCCTCCCAGCCTGTTTTATCCTGTAATTATCTTTTCCTGGACCTGCCCTTCCTGCTCCTGCTTAATTTCCCATCCCATGTGAATGTTAATCCTTGAGAAGGAATCTGCAGGAGAAAATGGGGTTTCTCTGGAATATTTGGTGAGTTATTCTCAGGATTTCAGCAGTAATTATTTCTGGGAAGGAACATCTTGTGGGATTCCTGCTGGACTTCCCTTCAGGCGGGAAGGTCACGAACTTCCAACAGCTTTTACAAGGAAATTTCAGCTGCTGGAAGGGAACTTCTAGGAGCTGAAATCCCAATTTCTGACTTGGAAGGAAAACAAATCCACACTCCACTATTGTAGTTCCGTGGGAGAGGAAGAAAAAAAATCACTCAAAGCTGTCTCAACCATTAATTTTGCTCCTTTAAAATGTTGATTTATGCTGCTGTGTTTTTATTTTATATTAATTTAAGGTGGATTCTCACTATCCAGCAGAAAATATATTATTTGAAATCTATAAAATGGAATTCAGTACAAGAGGTCAAACAGGTTAACATACGGGGATAAAAGTTAATCAGGCAGCACAGATCCCACATAGAAGAAATTCACTTCTAAAGGTTAGGTACTTAAATATTAATTATTCAAATCAACAAATGTGGCAATAAAAAGTGAGCATAAGGCATCAATCCTTAGGATAGCAACAATGTAAGAAAATCAGGTGATTCGATGCTGAGAATAGCAATTTTCATCACCTTTTTATTTCCTACCCACATTAATTAATTTACATTTTCTCATCTTATCTCTGGACTATAAGATGAAAAATGGATCTCAAAGGCTCCTGAATGCTGGCAGTGCTTTGGATCCCAGGCTGGGCTGATTTTTGGGCTGAAATAGGAAACTTAGCTGAGATCGCTGGGAAGTGCATTAAGTTCATTTTGAAGTGATTAGTGCTCCTTTGGATCCCGTTTTTCCAGGATGTGAAGCACTAATGCTGTGTCATCCAATTAATGTGACCCACAAGGTGGAATTCTGCAATTCCTGCTTCACCTCCCCATGGCTCAGCTGCTCTGAGAGCCTGGAGGATGTGGGGATGAGAAGGGAAATTCAGGTGTCACCTGAGGGGCTCAGCTGGAGGGGAAGGAAAGAGGATTTCCCTGGAAGCAGAAAGAGGAAAAAACTGCCCAGAGCCTGTGCAGGCTCCAACCTTGGAGGTGTCAAGGGACAAGTGGAGGAAGGAGCTGGAGCTGCTGGAATGAGCCCAGAGCAGCTCCAGGATGACCAGAGGATGGAGCAGCTCTGCTGTGGGGAAAGGTTGGGAGAATTGGGATTGATCAGCCTGGAAGCTTTGGGGTGACCTCATTGTCCCTTCCAGTGCCACAAGGAGCTTCACACAGATGGAGGGAGACTACAAGAGTCTGAGGGACAGACACAGGGAATGGCTCCCACTGCCAGAGGGCAGGGATAGATGGGATTTTTGGGTGGAATTGTTCCCTGTGAGGGTGGGCAGGCCCTGGCACAGGGTGCCCAGAGCAGCTGTGGCTGCCCCTGGATCCCTGGCAGTGCCCAAGGCCAGGCTGGACACTGGGGCTGGGAGCACCTGGGACAGGGGAAGGTGTCCCTGCCATGGCAGGGGGGGAACTGGATGAGCTTTAAGGTCCCTTCCAGCCCAAACCATTCTGGGATTCCATGATTCTCTGAAATCCCTCAGCAGCTCCATCCTGAACCCAGATTTCTCTGATTCAGCAATTCTCCAGTAACCAACAGATCATGAGCAGCTAAAACCTGAAAATGATCCATGACAACAACGTGTGACTGTGCTAGAAAGTAAGAAAACCCATCCATATCTCAGAGCTTGTTGCTCCAAACCCTCCCACAGTCCATATGTTTAATCCCAGTAGTTCTCACTCCTCCAATTCTGATCTCAATCCCTCATACAGCAACTAAATTAGAAAAGGTTCTCTGCTGCCTGCATGCAAAAGTAAACTCATTAATATATCCTGTCAAATACAGAAAGCCAAAATCAGAAAATTCAGCTCATCAATGCCTCAGGTCCCCTGAAGGGGCTCCACGAGAGCTGGAAAGAGACTTGGGACAAAGGATGGAGGGACAGGACACAGGGAATGGCTTCCCACTGCCAGAGGGCAGGGATGGATGGGATAATAGGAAAAAAACCTTCCTTGTGAGGGTGGTGCCAAAATAAAATCACCCAAGGGCTGCTAGTTGATTTTATTTGCCCCGATTTTCTTGGGAAAGACAGCACTGATGCACAGGCAACTGCCTCAAAATGGGAAGTTTTGGTTGCAAACCTTGTAAATCTGTAGTGATTTTGGGGAGAAAACACAGAAATATTTATCACAAATAGAATTTTACTGCTTGTAGTCTTTGATAAAAACAGCCCCTCTGTTTGGAGGAAGAATTTGGGACAGGCATTAAAGATGGAAAAACTCTGACTCAGTGCTCCAAATTTAACAATATTTAACAACATGGGAAGTGAAGCTTTAGGATGTCCTGACCAGGTGTGTCAGGCCAAGGTTTGTGCTATTAAATAATATTTAAAATGCATCTCTTGTTTCTGTAGGGCTTGTCCAGAGTTGTCAGCCTATTGAAAAATACGATTCTATTATTAAAGAAAAAATGCTTCTAAAGCAAATAATTCCCATCTCTGTGTGTCATGCCAAGAGAACAGGAGAGTCCTGGATAATTAAATTAATGGAGTTATTATGGGCAGGCTTAAGGGACAAAATGCAAGTCTGAAAGTGAAAAGAGGCACATGGCAGGAGGATATTTCAGGAAAAGGTCATGTGGAGAGAGGACACCTGGAGATGCTGAGGGGACAGAAATAGCACGGAGCAAAACAGGATTGGCAGAGCTGTGACAGGTGACACAATCAAGCTCAGGAATGCAGCTTGATAAAAAAATATATATATCAGGAAGTCCTACAAATATGGAATATTTGCTGAATTTAATCCCTGGAATTGGCCAAGGCAAGGTTGGACAGGGCTTGGAGCAGCCTGGGAAAGTGGAAGGTTGGAACTGGATGATCCTGAAGATCCTTTCCAACCCAAACCTTTCTGGGAACCTGTCATTGATCATGATTAGTAGTATTTCATATGATTGATATAAAACTAAAGAGTAAAAATAAAGTCAGCTGTAGATAACACAGAATGATGTGTGAAATTTTTTTTTAAAATCAGATTTTTGTCTTATTTACGCAGGACAAGCAGGAATAAATTAAAGCCTAAGTTTGCAATCATATCATTTGCCTGATGGAGCAATCCCATTAAAACACCTCCAATGCTGGATAAATTGATGCTGATAGACACCAGTCAATTATTCTTCAAAATTTACAGACCTAAATGCTGAAATAACACAAATGTTTTTTCCTTCAGCCTCTTTATACCCCTCAGAAGCAAATTATTTCCCTTGGATGTGAAGAGCTGAAAGCTGATCTGTGCTGCAGCAGCAAAAGGCAATAACATGGGGCTTGTCAGATGGACCAGAACTAAGATGCTTTTTTTTCCTCTTGAGGTCTATCTTAATAGAAATTGATTACATAAAAAATTACTCTCTTCAGCAACGGGGTTTTATAATAATTTCTTTTTTTACAGCAAATTTCAGCAGCTCTTAAGAGCCTCCCTGAAAGAATAATGTTTGAAAGGAGTAAAAATGAACTCTGGCAATGCCAGAGCTGAAAGGCCCTTTTATATTTTCCCCAAAAAAAAACTTGATACTGAGGAAAAAAACCAGATACAACACATATTAAATGCTGCACTTTAAATGAGATTAGTGAGCTCTTAGAGAAGCACCTCCCTCATTCCAAGATTTTCTGTCTCACTGACAGAATTCCTGTGCTAGGACATTCCCAATGAGCTGATATCCACATCTCACCACTAAATTCATGCTGAACTTCTCTAACCAGCTATTTTTCTGCCAGCCACACAGCACACAGAACATGTGAGCAGTGAAGACAACATTATTTTTCCAATAACAAGGAGGGATATAAGCTTGGAATTCAGTAAGCTTGGAATGCGCTTCTTCATCAATATAGCTGCCTTCTGAAAATTCATTCTATACTTCCAGCACTGAGCTGAAATTTTTTAAATTATCTTTGGTTTGGAATGGCTTTTTATTCACTAAAAACACAGCAATGGGTAAAATACTCTATTTGAATTCTTACCTATTGTATTTCTCTTCTGTGCTATTGAAATTTCTCAAAATCACTGAAATGCCAAAACTTTTGCTAAAAATGGATTTACACTCAAACCAAACACCAGATCAGGCACAGCCAGATGTAAACGACCTCACACCTTTCCAGCACCCCTTTCTGAGGCTCCACCAGAGCCCTTGCAGTCAAAGTTACCAGCTCTTAAAACAAAACCAAAGCACAAAATTCTCCTTATCCTTCTCTCAGCATCTTTGATTCCTAAGAGGAAAATAAACCCCACCTAAATCAGCAGGTGGTATTTGATGACATTCTGTGCTTGGTTTACAAAGTCTGTGTAAGGTGAAGTCCACCTAAACTTCCCCCTGGAAATCTTGGAGGTTTTTCCAACCTTAATGATTCCGCTGGAGAATTCCCTGGAAATGGCTGCAGGTGTTCTGTGCCATATCCCTGCTCTCCTTAAATCAGACAGGGCTTAAACTGAAGTTTAAAGTAATCTCTTTATGGATGAGACCTGGGGAATCAGATCTCACTTCTCCAGCAGTTCACTCCAAACAAGCAATGGCAGAAATACCTCAGGAAGCATATTTAATCCTAATTAAAAGTGAACTCAAGCTCAGGAGTGATAACTTCATATTTAGGCAATGATAAAAGCAGCCAGTGCAAAGCCCAAGACAACTCAGCAGTGGAGGGGGACAGGGAAGAAATAAATTAATCCAAGCATCAAAATTCCCACAATTTCACCCTTTAAAACTCATCCTCTGATATTCAGAGGCCCCACTTCAACAGGAATCCTTCAGAGGTCCTTTCCAGCCCCAAATATTCTACACAAAAATATTCTATACAGGAACAGCCTCAGCACAGAATATGGCCAGAGGCTTCTGCACAAACCCAACCAAAACCACCAAGTTCTGGGTAGTTCTGAGGGGCCAAAATTCAGTTCCCACCATCAGACAGGATTTTTGCTCCATTTTATGCTGTTGTTCCTTTGGTTTATAAGGTGGTCTCAAAACACTCTGCAGCACAAAGCTCAAATAAGGGTTGGAATTTCATCTCAACTGTGGCTCTTAATTGCTGGAAGGATTTTGTAGCCGACCGTGTCTGGAATTCAGGACAGGGATTTACAGCTTCAGTCTGTTTTCTAAAGTCAAGGATGCACTATAAAGGAGAACTGCTTTTTAACTGATCTGTTTATTCCACACATGTATATAAGTCTATAAATACAACAGGAACTTGATGAAATTAACCTTTTCATGGTAAAAGTGGCAAGGAACAGCTGAGATAAAGGATTTCTGAGACAGCCTCCTTGCTTTTGGCCAACTTCTCATCTTTCCCCAAAGAACAAGGATGCAGGTGCCTGGCTGCCACCCTGACCTCCCAGAAGGGAGAGTTAAGCTGGAAGCCTTCAAAAAAAAATTCTCCATCAAAAAAAAGTTGTATTTCTAGTGTTGAGTCACTTCCCAGCACCTCCAACATAATGCCCAAGACCCTCCTTAACAGCAGGGAAGCACTGAACAATCCCATTCCTATTTTTCTTCTGTAATGCGTCCTTTTTTGAACTGCCCCTTTCCATTTTCATGCAAGAAGTATTTATTGACTTCCATAAATTAAGCACTTCAACATTCGGTTAATTAATATTTTTTTATCATCATAATTAATGAGTGCTTTTCTCTTCCCATTTCTAGCGTGGAATTGGATTTTAAACAGCAAGAAGATAAACTCCAGCCAGTTTTGAGAAAACTTCATCCTATTGAGGAAACTCAGGTTGCACCTTTGCCTTATTCTCAGGAGAGCTACTCCTCTACTCCCAAGCAAAAATCCAAAACTGAATCAAAAAAGCATGGAAGATGGAAACTCTGGTTCCTTTAACCCAAGTCCATGACGTGTGGAGTTCAAGGCCTTCTTTGACAAATATCTGGAGTTGTTTCCATCGTCTCTGACGGGATCTTGGTGGAAGGAGCAGCGTCCTGGCCAAGGGCAGCGTCCAGTTCTCACCGCGTGTACCAAAAAGGCCTTTGTAGCGACGGACTCACGCCCAGGAGCACGGGCTTGGGAACCCCCTGCCCACTTCCACTTGCAGCTTGCCAATGTGGGATGTAAAACCTGAATGGGAATTTGGACAAAGATGGGAAGTAAAACTGTTTCCCTCCCCTCCTCAGATCCAAAAGCGTGGCACTCCGACCTGTTAAAGTGTAGGCCGGCATCCTGCTCCCCCAGGAATGGTGGAAGCATTTTGGGGGTCTGGGTTGTTGTCTTTGGACAGCAACAAGGGGGAAAAACAACAAGCAAGCCTTATGTTTGCAGCGGTGTTGAGTTTTACAGCTCCATGTTGATCGGGGAGTGCAGTTTTCAGCACAGAATTCCTGGACAAAGCACAATTTTTCCCGCGGCCCGCGGCCGCGCCGATCTCCGAGATGTGACTGTGGTGTATTCTCTGCCTTCATGCGATGTAGACTCCAACCAAGCTCTCACATTTCAACCTCATCTCTGGTTTAGCTGTGTCCTCACCACCAGAAGAACCACTCTGCTGCTCAGCCCCAGCGGGGCAGTGGCCAGAAACCTCCCAAAAATCAGGCCCAGCCTTTAAGCACCTCCAGCTCACAGGGTCCAGGCCATGGGACAACCCCTCATTGTCACCTTGGAAAGGTCTCACCCAAAGGTACAAAACCCAACCCCAAAAGAGACCCATCCCAATCAGGATTGTTGGCCTTTGCCATGGGTTAGTATTTTTTTCTAACAGTCTTTGGAAAACCTCTCCACTGCTGCAGAAGGCACCAGGAGATGTCCAGGCTGCAGCACTGCTTGGAAGGAGCTGAAATTGGAAATGCTATTTATTTATTAAGCTGCTCAGATGGGTTTCCCACCTTACTATAATTTATATATTGATCTATTAATTGTACTCAGTAATTGAAACACTTTGGGGAGAGATGTGAATCAGATTTTTCCTAATTTGGTTTGGTTTTTTTTGCAATGGCACTTAAAGTTTTGCTCTGACTTATAAACTGCAACTTTTCCTTCAAGTATTTGCTACTACCATTAAACTTGCATCTAAAATGACCATTGGTGGAAAAATTCCTCATGCTAGAAGTGGCCAGGAAGTGGGAATCTTGTCTTTTGTTTTGGTTTGGGATTTTTCCCTAAGGATTTCAGATAATTTGAGTGTCATGTGACAAACTGGGTTTGAAATTGCATCCCCTGTAGCAGCAAGAAGGTATAAACTCTTCAGCCTTTAGGTGCAAGGACAGTGATCATTAATTTCACAGATTAAAAATTTGGGGAAGTGTTTTTCTTTTTCACTGTTTCTCCTCTTAGCTCAGCATCCAATTTACTCCTGAGAGAAAACTGGAGGAAAATAACCTATTTTTTTTCCCCTCAAAGAGCAAGAAAAGCAAATTAAAATGTGAATGGAAATGCAGAAGATGCCTATGGCCAGCTCAATATTTGCAGTAAACCTTCAAGAGGGCTACGAGCTCTTGCACAGAAGCAAATCCTGAAATCCTCTGGTAGGAGTCGAAGGATTAGGAAGGTGATCCAGTACACCAGGAAGGAAGTGCCATTGTTTCATGTGGAAAAAATCCCATATTTCTGTGTATTTTATATTGTTTTTAACTAAAATATAGAACTGTTTACAAGGCAACCCACACATCATGGCATAGAAACCCAAATATTTCCAAACTAAAAAAACTTTTTTTTTTTTTTTAAGCAGAAAGGAATCAAAAAAAAAGGGCAGAAAGGAAAATACAGCAGTACTCATTATAAAAAAAAAGATTAATAACTAATGCACTCCTACATGCTAACAGGCCTAGTGTTTGGGGTTTTTAAAAGAAATTAAACCAAGCATCTCTCCATGGCAATCAACTCCCAAACCCTCAGTGCCACCCCTCAGTAGCTTTGTGTGTGCAGGGACCCCGAGTGATCCAGAGCTCCTGGAATCAGGGGAAAAGAGGGAGGAAACTCCAACTGGAGAAACAAAGAGCTCAAAGGGAAAGTTCTCACGGCGTGTTCTGTACATGTCCAGGCTATTTTCTTAAGAAGTTGCAAATTTTTAATTTTTTACATTTTTTTAAACCTGGGGAAAGCTGACATTACCATAGAGTCTTGCTTCCAACTGACATCTCGTGTTCTCTGGTACCCTCCGATGTACTTTGTAATAAAATGTTTTTGCAAGTGTGTAAAATGTATCATAATTGTATTGCCTTTAGAATCACTCAGGCTCAGGTTAGATAGACACCAAGAGGAAAAAAAAAAACCTAATTCTTTAGAGCTTTTAGTTTAATGTGACAGAGCTATTTTCACCCTCATGTGGAAGATCTTGGAGGTTCTAATGAGGAAAATGGGTTTTTATTTTCAATGTGGCTTTGCTGGATTCACTGGCAGTCCCCTGCACTTCATACACTGATTTTCTAGCTGCACTTCTCCCATCTCCTGCTTCAAAATACTTTTTAGCCAATAAATACTGCAGTGATTTTATATCCCTTGCTCTTTGCTGAGTCCTTATAATTTCCACACAGCAACAGTTGCATTCTTTGGTTTAGAACTAGGAGGAAAACACTATTCCTGTGAGTAGCACTTGGTTCCTTAAAGATGAAAAACAAAAATAACTGTAAAAATACTTTTAAAAAACCAGGATAAAGTGAAAAAAAAAGAAAAAAAACATGATTAAAACTGGAAAATCATACCATGGGTACAAAGTGTTTGCTTTTTCTTGCTTAAAATGCAAAACCACTGTCCATGCCTTGATTTCACTCAATGTTTTAAAGGTTAAATCACTCTTTCCCTATCAAATAGGGTAATTTTTCATTAACTTCCCAACCACGTCAGCTGTTAGATTACACCAGGACCACATATTATATATTGCTGCTGGAAGTGAGCTGGAATTGAACCAGAATTCCACTAAAAATCCAACTGCACCAACACCATTCTGTCTGGGAGAACAAAAGGGACCTGCATGAAGATTTTTAATATTCCATAAAAGCCATCAGTGGTTCATTAAAATAACTGGAGTGCTACAAATGTGTTCATTTGTTTAGGTGAGTGCAGCTCATTGCCATAAATGTTGGTAGGGAATGCAACAGGGATGGTTTGACAACACAAAAAAAGCTCAGTATTAGTGATGGAGTAAAATCACGGCCACCATCCAAATATCACTTCAGTTTCAGTGAAATTAGCTTGCAATATGTAATTTTAAATGATTTCTAAAGAGAAGAAAGCATGTGACTCAATAAAGCAAAATATTTTTACATGGAAGAAGTCTGGTGAAGAAAATTAGGTTTTCTGCCCCAGATCTTGGAATCCATGAAGCCTGACCTGGGCAGATTTTAAGGCACAGGAAGATAATTTACACCCAGATTCAACTCCTGAATAAGAAACTGCAGCCCCAGAGGCCCCCTGTGACCATCAATAACTCTGATTTCAGGCTTGCACCTGTATTTTACATCCTTCTGGAGAGGCCTCAGCCTGGAGGTGCTGAGATGGACAATCCAGAATGGTGACTGATTGATTGATTGATTGATTATCCAGAGCTCCCCATCAGTGCCACTCTGCTCTACACAACCCTATCACTCTCCTTGTGTCAGGTGTCACCTGCACCCCACAGAGATCCCCCTTCTCAATCTCCTTCCAGAAACCTCAGATTCCACAAATACCCTTTTTCTCCTTCTGATGGCTCCTGCACCATTTCTCTTCTGGTTTCACCTCATCTTCATCCCAGAGCACAGAGGGGAAAGCAGCAAAGTGGAGAAGATTCCACTCATCAGCAACACCACCAAGTCCTGTCCTGTGCTTCCCACTCACACACCCTAAAACCCAAAATCAGCCATTTTCCCTGCTCACAGGAGTCAGGGGTCACTGACTTTGTTTCCCATACACCTTTAGATGTTTTCCAGAGCCACTCTCCTTAAGGACACTCTTGGAAGTTAATACCACAGGAACATGGAATGGTTTGGATGGAAGGGACCTTAGAGACCATCCCATTCCAACCCCAACCTTCCCCTAGGCCAGGAGATTTCCTCTCAGAAATTACAGAGCTTGGTTTCCTTTGGGAACGAGGCACATCCCAAGCTGCTGACACGAGGAGAAGGAGCAGCCATGGATCATTCTGGAGTGCCACCAAGGCTGCTCTGCCCTGATTTACAGGAGGAGGCCGAGATGTTCCCTCACATGGAACCCAACGTTGTCCAAAAGGCACCAGGAAAGGAAAGAGAAGGTTTAAAACCATCCTTCCAAAGGCTTAAGGAAGTTTGCTCAATTTACTTTTTCTTCAGGCAACGTGTTCTTCAGTAAGAAAGGTTTTGTGGTTTTTTTTCAGGTGATTTCTCCCTGGGCCAGGAGCAGCAGCAGCTCAAAATGAACCTAAACCAGGCAGTTTGGAGCAGCAGGACAGCTCAGCACCCTCAGAGGCTGCATCCTGTACTAATAATAGAATCATTATATAAAATAAATATTAATAATATTAAAATCTTCTACTCAGAAAATGGATCACGTAAAAACCACCAGTGAGACTTAGAGAGAGAAAAATAGTCCAAACCAACGAGGATTAAAAATGCTTTTGCCAACAGAAGTATTGTCAAATCAGATTTTAAACTTATAATTTATACTTCATTTTACGTAATATCTGGTTCTTCTCCCTGCAGCTGGTCTCTTATTTCAAGGAAATTCTCCTCTGAAGGTATAGGACAAAACTTGCTCAAGATTTTATCAAGGAACTCACATTTAAGGAAGAAAAAAAAACCAAATGTGCAAAGCCAAAGGAAACCATTGGAGAATCCTTCCAGTTCAATGCTGCAGAAAAGGCTCATCCTCTAATTAAAACCTCTCACTTGAGCACTTAAATCCTTGACATTCCTCCACTGCTCATAAACTGCATTATGCAACATCAGGTTTTGGATGGAAATGGTGTCACTAAGTATTTTTCCAGGGAGAAAACATGCCAACTTTAGGACACCAACACAGTTATATTTAGAGAATAAAAAATTGGTTTTGCCCTGTATTTTACTTGTTTTAAATAAATTATCATCAACTCTGTCAGATATTTCAAATTCCTTCCTTCCAGTCACCCGGTATGGTTAGTTCTCTACTACAGGTAAAACTGAAAAAAAGCAATGTCACTGCATAATTTCAGCCCAAATCTGATGTAAGAGAGGTCAGGCTGGGCTTCCTAATTATTATTATTATTAATTTTATTGCTCTTACTTTGCTGACACCACAAAAATGAGTTGTGGCTGGTTATTTAACAGGGGAATCTCCTCAGCAAAGGCTGCACTGTAAGGTAGGAGTAAGTACTCATTAAAAGTACCCTGAAATCTCAGTGTTCATTAGCTGATTATAGAGGCTGTGCGTGAGGGATTGCAGGCTGTGCTCAACAGCACAATACAGATCTTTAATATCACTGCTCTGAGTTCAAACACACACACACGTTTTCAAATCTACTCTGCTAACTGCAAAAGGCATAATTAACGTTTTTAAATATCACCTGAACCACCTTCATCAAAACAATAATTAACTCCCATTCAGCCTGAAACTGAGGAAGTTCAAATAACACACAAGTCCTTCAACTTCCCTGCACTGCTGCACCCCAGCAATATTCCCAGAATGGAATATTCTGTAGGAATGTTTTGCTTGGAACCATTTCCCCACAGAGGCTGTGGATTCCCATCCCTGGAATGTCCAAAGCCAGGCTGGACAGGGCTTGGAGCAGCCTGGCATAGTGGAAGTGTCCCTGCCCATGGCAAGGGTGGAATAAAATGAGCTTCAAGGTCCTTCCAAGCCAAACCATCCTGGAATTCTGTGACTGCTTGCTCCAGCAATGGATCTGGAGATCCATTATCCCTTCCTTACAAGTGATACAAGTGGGAGACCAAAACTAAGCCAGTGGATGATGCACCAAAGACAAAATGAAAATTGCAGCAGATTTGCCAACACGAGCACCCCCAGATACCAAGGAAATGGGCAGCAGGAGGTCAGGAAGAAGTTCTGAGGACACAGAGCTCTGTGTCAAAAATCACTGTGTGTAAAAGTAAAATATCACTGTGTGCAACTACAGGGAGGATTTAAATTGGGAAGAAAAGAGGAGATCAGAAAACCAAGTTACTGATGGACTCATCTATCTGACTAACAATTAACCACATGGTAAGAAATCAGCGCATTGAGCCAGACTGACCCAAATTGATGCAGAACTGAGGGACAAGTGCTCAGACACAGCACAAACCTGGCTCACTTCGACCAGCTCCCTGCAGAGATCAGCTGCCAGCTGCAGACAGCTAAGAAAGAACACAAGAGAAAGGCAAGCACACAGGGAGGCCCCCAAAAACACACTCAGATCTATCCCCATCTCAGATATCAACAAGCTTCTCTATTTTTTTTCATTATTTAGCCCAATAATTAATTAATTAATGTGGAAAAATTCAAGTGTAAGGCTTTAAAATCACAGTGCTAAGTCAATAGGGTCACTTGCATCAGTCCTTCCTCTAAACAATTTTGGGCTCTGTTCTTCAGTCATTTGAACACTCACCTTGGCTATCTCAGTTTAAGTCAAAAAGACAAGTAAATGCTTGTAAAGCAGTAACAACAGCCAAGTCTCATTTCCACACTTCTCAGCTGGCTAATTACCAATACTACATCATTTTGGTGCACATAGATATCAATCCTGGCTAATCACCTGCTCACAGATATTTTTCAAGCTTTTTTTTTTGCTCTTTCCCTGCGTCAACCACAGCAAAATTACCAGGCAGTGCTTTCCAGCTTCCTGAGCACACAGAGAGAGGAGGTTTTGATTGCTTTGGGTCACCTGGGATTGCAATGCCATTACAGGCAGGTTCAGGGAGATGTGACAGAGGTGTTTGAGTTTACTTACAATGAGCTCTGAGTCCCGTCCCATGGAAATCACAGTTCTGTTCACTGTCCTCAGCAGGTTCTCCATGATGATCTGCACATGGCGTTGTGTGGGGCCCTGAGGACGAGGAATAAATCAGTGATAGCCACAAACAACAGACAGCAACACAACTGGACCATTTGTGCTGCCTTTCCCACCTGTCTGGTGGAAATTAAATAACACATCACTTGCTGTTGATCACGAGGAGGGAATGGCTTTAACCAAGTGATATTTTGGTAATACATGTTTCTGATAAATTAAAATGTGCTGTTACAATGTCAATGGAACTGCAGCTCATGACATTTAGTTACCTATTAATTTTCTTCCCCCAAGACATTTTTCCAACACCAAACCCCCACAGGCATTACCAGCCTGGGGGAGGGGGAGCTGTTCTGCAAGAGCTCAATTAAAAGGAAGAGAAAAGCAAAACAAAACTTTCATTAAGGAACTGCCAATTTCAGTCAATATCAAAAGCAATCTACCACTACTTTCAAAAGAGTTAAAAGGAAATATTTACTCCAAGCAGATTTTAAGGACAAATCCAGAAATCTCACACATAATGATGGGCAAAAAACAAAGCCACAAACACCACAAGGAGAAAGAAACAGATGAGCTTTGCTACCATCTTTTACTTTATGGATGAAAAATAGATTTGCATATTTGAAGGACGACCCACCACCAACACAAACCCACCCAGGAGCTGGTCCTGCTGCCAGGATCAGCCTGGGAGAGGGTGGAGCTGCAGGTGAGCCCCTACCACGGAGAGAAAAGCAGCCAGCAAAGAGAGACAGGAGCAGCCAAGCTGCCAGAACCAAATTCCTCCTGTAAAACAACTCCCTCTCTGAAGCAGCCACACAGAGCTACCTCCAAAAACAAACAAAACCCGAGCAAAACCCCAAAAAAACCCAATTAAATAAGATACCAGAGGGGATGTGAGTAGCTGACCCCTGAGGTCCTTTCCAGCTGAATTAGTGTATGATTTTACATAGCACTGAAGGTTCAGGCAGCAGCAGCAGCCCAAATTTCAGGAGAGCATCAAATCACTGCAGCTCTCTGGCAAAGCAACAATATTTGTATGTTTGTTGAGGTCAAGAGAAAGCAGAAAAGAGGATATTATGCAAAAAAAGGGATATTACACATGCTGCACGTCTGGGAACCATGTCAGCAACAATACAACTCAAATGCACATTTCCCAAAATGCCCATGGGAGAAAAGAAAAACCACCAAAACACATTTTCCACCTGGAAAAGGCCAGGCACAGTAAACGGGGAAGGTTTAATGCCTAAGGACATTTATTTCTTCACTATCTAACCAGAAAAGCTGTACTGGATGTGTCTCAGACAGAACAAGTGCTGTGCTGGATGTGACGTGTGAGATGCCACACAACAAACACATCATCACTGGAGAACTGAGAGTTAGAAAAGGCTGGTTAGGAGGTTATAAAAAAGAAAAATAAAAATCTAAAGCTTCAGGAGTCACCTGCTTAATTCACTTTACTAAAACAATTTCTGTGAAGCGTTACTCATCGCAGAGCCAGCCCACACTCACCACATCTTTCTTGTAGAGCACTTCCAGGATGTTACTCAGCAACTGGCAGCAAGCCTCCAAATCTTCTTGTCTCTCCAAGTGATACTTGAGCTGGTCTGTCATTGTTGGCAGCAAGATTTCCCTGCAGTCTGCACACAAAACACGAGGTTACAAACACAGCTTTCAAGGCCTCCAGGCTGATGTGCTTCAGTGCTTACATAAGACAGAAAAATATCGGGAAAAATAAATTAACTTCCAGCTTTTCAACCCAAGCCTCACCTCACCTTAAAAACTTCTGCCTCTGAACTGCTCCAACCTTTGACCATTTGGTGCTATTAAAAACTAAAAAATCCCCTTCCTTGCTCAAGTACTCAGACTGCTCCTACATGGAGGGAATCACCAAGTTAAAATTAATTCTTAATTATCCATATAAATGTCAGCCCAGTGAACAGCTTGGCTCTGCAGATCTGCCCCAAAGATGCTCTGTGATCACAGCCTTGTGCCTCTGCATTTGGGAAACTTCAGGATATGCTCCCTGAATTTTGGGCTAACATGGTAAGGCAATAGCAGATGAAGCAGAACCCCACAGGGCAGAGGGGTCGTGTAATGTGAACAGTCCCCAAACACAGGGGAGGGGAAGAAGCCCAAAGCCCAGCTGCTGAGCACTCCAGGAAAGGCACAGAACATGTCTTTGCAGAGCCTGTGAGGTGAATCAGTCTCTAATAACTTTAAAAGCCCCTAATTAGAGGGCTGAGAATGTTCCACAGTCCTGCTGAGCCCCACTGGCAGGGAGGGGGCAAAGATCAGTTGAATGTCTGAGTCACCTCTGAGTTCCACTGCGGTGCTGGAGCTGCTCTCATCAACGGAGGAGGCAGTAAAGCTGCATTTCTGAGAAAGGGAAAACTGATTATTGGTCCCAGTGCTTGGTCTGGAATGACACAACCAGCACAGAACACTGTTCCCTTGGGTGGAGCTGACAGGGCCCCTCAGCTCCCACCTGGGGCTGCTGAGAAACATGGGGGGAAACAAAACGGGCTGGGAACTCCACAAAATCATCCCAAGGGGGAGGAGGAGCAGCTGAGGGAGCTGGGGGGGCTCAGTCAGGAGAAAAGGAGGCTCAGGGGGATCTTCTGGCTCTGCTAACTCCCTGACAGGAGAGAATATTGAATATTTTGGCAGTGAGAACCTTCAGCAGAAAGATGGGGATCAGGAAAGATCAGTGTTCAGCCCAGAGAGGAGAAGATTCTGGGGAGACCTTAGAGCCTGTTCTGGACCCTAAAGGGACTCCAGGAGAGCTGGACAGGGACCTGGGACAAGACATGGAGCAAGAGGACACAGGGAATGGCTCCCACTGCCAGAGGGCAGGGATGGTTGGGAGATTGGGAAGGAATTGTTCCCTGGGAGGGTGGGCAGGGATCCAGGGTGCCCAGAGCAGCTGTGGCTGCCCCTGGATCCCTGGCAGTGCCCAAGGCCAGGCTGGAGCAGCCTGGGACAGTGGAAGGTGTCCCTGCCATGGCAGGGGTGGGATGGGATGAGCTTTAAGATCCCTTCCAACTCAAACCATGCCATGGCTCTGTGATGCTCCAACCAGCCCAGAGCTGTGGTGACACTCCCTAGACCAAGATGAGATTTTTCAGTGCCTTTTTTGCTATGAGCTGTTGTGAAGAGCACTGAGCTGCTGCACTCTGGGAGCTCAGAGGAGCAAAGGTGAACCCTCATCACCCTGCCTGCCACAAACACCCCCAGCCCTGATTAATGGGGAACCTTTGTGGTCCAGAACACCACATCCTGCTCCCAAGGCAGCTCAGGATCTGCTGCACAGTGATCACAGACAGTGCAATTCCACCTCTGTTCTAGAGCAAAGCCCAGCCCGTGGTGATTTAATGCCAGAGGGAATCAAACATTCATCTGTAGCAAAGGATGCCCAGCTGGAATTACCAATTAGCAGCACCCAAGGAAAGCCTTCAGTGAGCTCTGCTGAAGGTGAATACACACCATAAATTTGTGTCAATAAAAACATTTTGTTTCCTGGGACACTGATAAATCCATTTATTTTATGGCTCATTTAGTTCATGTGGCCAAAAACCTTAACCTGTGCTCAGTAGTTTTGTTTCCACTCCACAGCCTGTGAGTTGAGTCATAACTGAACAGTAAGAACTCCTAAAAATGCTGGGTGTTGTCTACTAATATTCAACAGGCTCAAATTCCTCATGGAAAAAACCCTGGATTTTCTCTTTCGAACTCCAGCAGCTCCACAGCTCACTTGGCAATCAGCTGGAAGTCATTTGGAAAACAAAGCAACAGCAAACCCAAACATCTCCATAGGACAAAACAAATCAGACAAATCACTGTTTACATAAACCAAAATCTTGATGCTTGCAAGGACAGGACACTTCATTTAACTCCCAACCATGAGCACTGAAAATATCCACTAAATTATTATTAAACTGCTCCACACTCAGGGAGAAATTATATTTATGCCTTTTTGTTTAATTTTTTAGTGGAGTGAAAATTATATATATAAGATTATGTTATTGTATGGTGGTAGGGATAAATCTTATTTATATATTCATTTACAATTCAAGACATTCAAAGTATTTATATATTAATTTACCTCTACTTTACTATATGGAAAAATTATTTATTTATATAATTACTACATGTTCCTGTTTTTGTTTATAAACATCAACAAAATAAATTTTAAGACTATGTTTTAAACTATTATATTACTATTAAACTATTACTATTTTAACTATTATATTACTTTTTTTTTGAAGATACACAAACCCCACCACAGTCTCCATTCTGATCCAAGGTCCCAAACTCTCCAGACTTCCCAGTGAATCATCCAACACTTAACAACATCACTAAATCAAAATGCTTCAGCAAACTGCTTCACACACTCCCCTCTCACCCCCAAATCCTTCAAGCCTCACAAATTCATGTATTTTGAATTTTAATTCCTCTGGAGACACAAATAAATCTTCCTTGATCTCTCAAAGCACAGAATTAGAGCCTTTTTTCTCCACCAGAAAAAGGCTGATGAAATTTTCTGTGCATTTGCCAGCCTTCCCTAAGTCCACAATCCTGCAGTGCATATCGCTTTTAGAAAAGAAAACCTCATTTTTGCAACAGGATCCAGGATTAGTTGACAGCTTATATGGAAGTATTCCCTATCAGTTTAAAATTCCTCAATCAGTGAGAAGGAGGAGGGGCAGCCAGCAACATTTTAGTAATGAACTCCAACCCACAGAGCGAGGGACGGGAAAATCTAAATTTTAAAAAGGCTGTGGATAGAGGTTTGATTTATTTTCAAGTGAATTTGAATGTTTACAAAACTTCAGAGAATGATCAGAATGAAGAATTATGGTGAGAAGATGAGAGGGATGGAGCCCCTCTCCCCTTTAACAGAGCCTGGATGTGGCACTGGGTGCCAGGGTTTAGTTGAGGGGTTGGGGCTGGGCTGGACTCCATGGTCCTGAAGGTCTCTTCCAACCCAGTGATTCAGTGAATTCCTGTGAGGACAGGCTGGGAGAGCTGGGGGTGCTCACCTGGAGAGGAGAAGGTTCCAGGGAGAGCTCAGAGCCCTGCCAGGGCCTGAAGAGGCTCCAGGAGAGCTGGAGAGGGACTGGGGACAAGGCATAGAGGGACAGGACACAGGGAATGGCTCCCACTGCCAGAGGGCAGGGATGGATGGCATATTGGGAAGGAATTCCTGGCTGGGATGGAATTCCCAGAGCAGCTGTGGCTGGCCCTGGATCCCTGGCAGGGCCCAAGGCCAGGTTGGGACCCTGGGGTTGGAGCAGCCTGGGACAGTGGAAGGTGTCCCTGCCGTGGCAGGGGTGGGATTTAAGGGCCCTCCCAACCCAACCCAGTCTGGGATTCTGTGACACCAATGGCAAGAGAAACTTTTAAGGCCACACTTGGTTTACTGAATAAAAACCCCCAGCCATGGGAACCCCAGAGTGGTTTGGGTCAGTGCAGGTGCCTGGAATCCCCACCCCAGCCCAACCAAAGGCTGCTGGATTTAGGACATTCCTAACAGGCAGTGACAGGAAAACCCAGCTGAGGAGCCTCCTGATAAGATCTCAGAGCCATTAAGCAGCACCGATCTGTCAGCAAACCTGCCCTGGGCCCTGATTAATCACCCTCCCATTAACACAGATCCATTTGGATTTCTCAGCAGCTCAATAATGTTGGACTGCACCATTCCCTGCACCTGAAGGGATGAGTTTGGGAGTAAGGTTTATAAAACAAAGCAGCCACACACAATTCCTACCTCTCCCTCTGAAAATGGAACTGCTTCAATAAGGGAGGGCAAAGATTAATATGGTAAATGCACCATAGCCTTTCTCAGGAGTGTGTTTCACACTCAGTTTCTTGTTTTAGCTGAGTTATCTCCATTTCTTGCTCCCAAGGAGAGTAAAGGATGATCCCTGATATTACTGACTTCTGCCCCAAAGTCCTGGCAACCGGAGAGCAGCCAGGAGAAGGGAAAATGATTATGAGCTGAGAATGAATGAAGCAAATGAGTAACACTGATTAGGGCACAGCTCTAGCCAGGAAACATTAAATTATTCTTGGGGACACCATTTTACCCAGGCCCCAACACCAGCAACTGCACTTGCATTCCTCCTTTCCCTTCTTGAAAATCCAGCAATTCAGGGCTGAATAATTTCAAATCATTTCAGAGGCGAAGATAAAGTCTGGACTTGCTGTTTCCACCAAATTTCTGTACATGGTGACACAGGTGGTTAACTGTTTTTCAGAGATTATAAGAGTGGTATAAACCATCACAATGCCAAAACACCAAGCTTTTTTAAACCGGAACCAGAAAAATTTGTTTTATCAGCACTCAGCAGTCTCAGTTTTTGTGATCTGAGAGCAGAATCCTTCCAAATCTCCTTTCCCACTGAAGCAGTGACTATTTGCTCCCTCATTACCTTCCCTGACAGCACACAAACACTTTGCTGGGGTCAGTTTAACCTGCAGCCAGCCTGAAAAAGAATCAAGTGTTTCACCTCCAAGGAGGAAATCTGTAGGACAAGTGGCTGAGCTTATCTTTCACTGGCCCATTAATGGGAAAGCAGAAAATAACAAGGCATGGATGAACAGCACCCTTTGAAAAGTTTCTGCTTTTCTTCAGCCAGGGAACAGCTCCAAGGCACAGAGGACATCCAAAACCTCCATTCCCCCCATATGAGTCCACAAAAGCTGCATTGATGATTTTTGATAAACCCCAATACAAAGTTACAACAGAGCCCAATAACCTGGCTGCTTTGTGCCCTTTTAAAATAACAAATCCCAAGCTTTTTGTAATTTTGCACTTTCACTTCTTCACCATTTGTAACATGCAGTGTCAATTAGGATTTTCCTCATGCCCAAGGCCAGGCTGGATGGGATTGGAGCAAAATGGGATAGTTGAAGGTGCCTGAGGGAATTGGAAAAACAAATTCCCACAGACACTGAAGAGTTTGATCTGCAGCCTTGGAAGAAGCTTGGGTTGATGTAAAAATACAATACACAGATATTAAGCAGAAAAATCAACTTGTGTTTCTATAGCTGTAAGTAAGAATATGCCTTAAGTAAGTGAGAAACTGCACTGATAAGATGGTGAAGGGTTTATAGTGCAGGGGTGGGGTTGTATGGAATTACTGAGAGTTTAGAAGTTATAACAGAAGCAGATGGGTGCCTGTGAGAGAGAAGCCCATTGGACAAAAGCATCCTCAGTGCAGCAGGAGTGAGTAAAGGTGATGGGTGAGAAAAGCAAAATAAACCCTGTGGCAACTGTCCATTGGGTTAGAAAGTTCTGTATTGCCTTGTAACAAAGAACTTGTGACTGCTCTTGAGCTGTGGCCAAATGCTTGATCCTCTAAAATCTCACAGCCTCTGAGACTGGTGTTTGTCTGAGCAATAAATCATTCTTAGCCTGAAAATAGTCCCATCCCTTCGAGTTCTGGACGCTGAGAATTTCAGACTTTCTGTGCTGCCAGGCACTGACCCCCAGGAGAACTCTGCATTGACCTGAGGCTGTAGAGAAGGCTTCCAAAATTGACTGACAGCACTGGGAGTGTGGGTGTGGAGTTGAGTATAAGTGCAGAACATCACAGAGTGGAAGATGTGGAGTTTGGGGTTTTCGAATACAGCAATATATATGGGGCAAGGTGGAGGTTTTAGGGCAGAAGCTGGTCCTTCCTCTTCACCTTCTTCTCCATGGGTTTGGGTGGCATTTTGTAATTGGACAGAAAAGTGCAATGCAGCGTTCAAGTGATCAGTTATTAGGTTAAAAGTGAAAATAATGTAGGTGTCATTTCTTAATTGGACAGTTTATCCTTAAAAGACCTTGTAACGAGAGATAGTTGGCCATTTTGTAGTTGTTAAGTGAAATACTGCAGAACTCACTGCTGTGAGACTCTGATGAGAAATAAACACGTGAGTCTTTATGTGAACTGTCCTCTCAAGTCCCTTCAATCCCAGCCTCCACAGAGGAGGAAAAAGGAACCCAAAAAACGAGCAATCCCTCCATTATTAGTGGTGGCAATGATAGGTGCCCACCAAGCCAAGGGCAGCACTGGATGGGCTTTAAGGTCCCTTCCCACCCTCACCACTCTTGGGTTTTGGTTTTCCATCTCATCCTTCCAATGGAACACCCTCAGTGTGTCCCAGGCTCCACAGGGACGGCAGGAGGGAGCAGGCAGGGGACAGGGACAGGGAGCAAGGGCTGGGATTCTGCCTGCTCACCGTGCTGGGTGAAGAGGTCGCTGTGCACGATCTCGATCAGGCAGTAGAGCTTCTGGATGGTCAAACGGCTCACGGGCACGTTCAGGATGAACTCGGTGAAGAGCTTGCTGCACACACAGGGAAAGCAAAAATCCATTAAACAAAAGCAAAAATCCACTACATAATCCACCCAAAAACCCATTAAAAATCCATGGAAGAACAATCATCCATGAAGAACCTGACACACAACTTCCTGCTCTTGGATGAGCAAATTTTTTTGTTTTGAGATATCAAAAAAAACCAACCAGAGAATCATGACTAGTTTTCAACAATTTTTTTCAGTTTTTCATGTAATTTCTTTTGTCCCCTCCCTTTTATCTCAGTTTTAGATTCTTTGTCCATGTTACACTCACGGTTTTAAGTTCCAAGTTTTCCTTGCCTGTGATTCACATCAATCAGCACATTCGTGATTATAGACACCAAAAATAAGGTGATAATTAACATTGTAAGCTACCAACACAAAAATTAATAATTAAAAAACACAAAAAATTGACATTTTAGGATAAGGTACCATCACACACATCAGCTGAGCTCTCACCTAGTATTGTCAAGACCCTTCAATAATTTTTCATCCCCTCCTAAGATCTTGGGTTCTTTGCTTTTCCTACTGAGAATTAAGTCAACCTCTATTTAAATAATCCCAGTATTTAAATGCAATTTCTATTGTTAATACCATAGAAAAAATGTAATATTTGGGCTAAAACAGGCCAAGTCCTGCATTTTCCTTATTTTTTTCCCAGGAATTTTGCTGTCACATACCAAAATTATTATTTAGTCCAGAAACTCTACAATTCAGATTTCCTATGCCCAGGGAAGTGTAGATGTAAAACAATTCACAGTCCCCAGGCAAGAAGAAGGTAAATTCCAGGCTCCTCAGGCCACTGGAACATTGGACTAAGATTATATTTGTTTATTTTACCCCTGCTTTATCTCTTTTCCTCCTTCTGACATAAAGACCATAAAAATAAAGCCAGACAAAATTTAGAAGGGTTTGTGCAGTAAAATCAGATTTCAAATGTTTTTTTCAGTTTGTAACAGCACCACAAAAAATAAAATTATATTTTTCTCTTTAAGCTAAAGTTCTGCTGAAATACCATTTTTTTTTGGTTTTTCCACTTTTTTTTTTTTCTTAAATATCCTGTTATTGTCCTTTTTATTTACTAACAACACTGCCATGTTTATGACCTACTGAGACATCGATCCGGCAACTGAATCGCTGAATTATTTATTATTTTATTATTTAGAGGAAATTTAAACTTCAAAGATTGAAGCATCGTGGTCCAGCTTAAGAGTTTTGATGGCAGCTGCCTGATGAATAACTCTTGCTAATGGTTTGTACTGCAAAGTTTGTCAGGTATTTGTTAGACATTATTTTTAAAAAACAGGCTCTTTGTGTAAGCCTTAAAAATACCTGCAAGGAACAAAAAAAATGCAATAAAGACAAAGTGATAAAACTTCTCAGGTGATCCGTATTTCACTGTCTCAGTATATATTTCTATATTTTTATATATTTTTGTATCTTTATATGTAATAGTAAGATGTAGAAATGAAATATGCAGTGAATGTTCTTATGCTTATATATATTACATGTATTTTATATATTTGTGTGCATATTTTATATATATATCTTTATAAAATAAAATTAGCACTCCACACTTAATTAACTCTACTCACCTGAGTTCCTTTGGATCAAACACTAATTTCACATCATTGACAATTGCTGGCAAGTATTTAAGTGCTGCACCCTAAAAAGAAAACACCAAAAAAACCCAAATTAACACAATTAAAGAGTTTAAAGGTGATGCAAAGACTGCGAGAATCATCCACAAGGAGGTGGCTTGGGTTTCACCATTTGCTGTGACACCTGAGCTGAAACTCAGCAAAAATTCAACTTTTAACTGATTTAAAATAAGACAGAGACATGAAATGTTGATAAACTGGGGAAACTAGACCAAAAGCAGAGATTTATAAGCTCCTTCCAACATTTTATAGAAACCTTTTGGTTCCTCCAATCCCTTTATCCCCATCTTCTGTTGAGCACTTTCTCATCCTCCTCCTCAGCCATGCTGGAGTTGTTTGGGTTTAATTTTCACTCCACTGCTTAAAAATTAAACAAAAACCCTAATTAGCATTTTTCCCCTGCAGTAAATTCTTGGTAGCCACTCATGAAACACTGGCTCTTCCCAATTCCCCTTGAACTCACAGCTGCCACTGCACAGCACATGAAAGAGCTCGGAAGATACAAACAGATGTTTAATATTTTAACTGTTTGTAGGGATTTTTACTCATTTTATCTTTTTCTTAGAAACAATTCGTAGGTATTGCATGCACTGAGCACCAGACTAGGGAAAAAACTCAGTAATTGAAACAGAAACCAGAACAGCCAACTTCTCTGTCCCACCTTATGTTTTATCAATTAAATCAAATTGTTTGCTAACAGGTGTATTTTTGCCTGAGAATGAGAAGAGGCAGGGTTGGATGGGATATTGGGAATTAGGAATTGTTCCCTGGGAGGATGGGGAGGGGCTGGGATGGAACTCTCAGAGCAGCTGTGGCTGCCCCTGGATCCCTGGCAGTGCCCAAGGCCAGGCTGGACACTGGGACAGGGGAAGGTGTCCCTGCCATGGCTGGGGTGGCACCGGCTGAATTTTCAGATCTTTCCAACCCAACCCCCTCTGTCACTCTGTGATGTGAGAAATGATTGTCATTTACACCCCCCAGCCTGGACACACATTTATTTCCCATCCCAGGTGGTTTTTGCAGGTAGAAGAGCCACAGGAGGAGAACAGTCTTGAGGAGCCAACACAAACCCGATTCCTTTCTTACCCAAGAGCTCCCCTTTCCTGCCACAACCCCTGTCACTCCACACCCAACCCCTGAGCTCTCAAAAGCAACAAATGAATGCTTTGGTGACACCCAAGGGGAACCTCAAGAGGCCACCAAGGCAGAGACCCCTCCCCAAAGGGACCCCCCCAGCCTGTCCCGGGGCTGGATGCAGATTTCAGCATCCAGTTCTCAGTCACAATCCACTGAGGCTGTCAAGCTGGACCATCAACCATCCCACATCTGCTGGAAGGACTCCTGAGCTGGGTGGGGACCCTGGAATTCTGCAAAGGGAGCTGTGATGGGTGAGGGCTCTAATGACCAGTTAGGAACCACAGGCAGGAACGGGGGGGTTTATTTGCTGATCATTCACATGCACGGAGCCATAAATGTTTAGTAACACATCTTAAAAGGGAGCTTGCATTTTATATCTTGAATTAAAATTTCACACCCGGCGTAAAAATTAACACTTGAATAGCTCTCGTGAAATACTGTGGGGTAAAACTATTTACAACAGACATTTACAGCTTGGAGCTGCAACAATTAGCAGTAACTGAGGGTCCACTTTATAGACAAACCAATTAAAGTTGAATCCTGGAGATTTAAAGAAGATTGTGGAAATACATTTCCCAATTTCCCACCTCAGCTGGCTCAATTATGTCACGAGATGATCAGACTATGAGGCTGTGCAGCCCCGTGATTAAATCTGTATTTGTCCAAGCCAAAGGGCTACTAAAATAATTTTTTATTGGTATTAAATCACGTAGAAGAGCAGCTCTTGTTGTAGATCTTACTCTGTTCAAGCTGCAGCTGAAGTAGATTTTCTGTGAGCAGCAGCTCCATTGCAATGCTGGTTATTCCCAGGACACTGCAATGCATAAATGAGGAATATGAAATACAGCAGATAAAAACCCCTGCTCCTGTCTTTCCACAGAAGATTAGGAAAAAACAAATAAGCATCTGGTTTGAGGGGTTTTTCTGCCATTTAAAGAAATTAAATTAATTAATTTTCACTCTTGATCAGCACTGGACAAAAGTCCCAATTCCTCATTTCCACAAAAAACACACAGCAAACGAAGCCCAAAATCTTAATTCCATGGTTACACAGGGATGCCTTAACTACTTGAAAATTCCAAGCAGCATTAAAAAAACACAGTAGTGAGGAACCTCAGTGTTCACTCCAACAGTTTTCTGCAGTAATTTCCCTGAGATCACACGAGAAGCACACCCAAAGCTGGCAAGATCAGTCTCACACACACACTCAATAATTACACACAGTTTCAAGCTGGGCTGCAATAAAAATCTGAGTGCCCCAAGGGGCTTCTCTCTTTGTGCAAAACCAGTGACAAATTATTCCCACTCTTATCAAATCACAAAATCAGTCATTTCCAGTACTACAAAGCACACAAATACAGCAGCAAAGAGGAAGGATGAAAAAGAGTGAAAGCAGCAATGAGCCAGTGTGTGGCATAAATAATGGATATATTCTCCCTGAGTTGAATTTCCTCGTACACTCACTGCTCTGTTGGCTGTGGGGTGTTATTGGGATTTTATTTTTTTGCCCAGGCTGTGATTCACATGGCTCAGCACGACACCAGCAAGGCCATGGCAGCCTGCAGCAAGCTCAGAGATGTTGTGGCTCATCCTCTACATCCCAACCACACAAACACACATTGATTTCCCCTTCCTGAACACCACAGCCGTGTGTAAAAGGAATTATTCCACAGAAAGCATGGGAAGAACCATGAGCTGACATTCCCTCTGAGGAGGAACTGCCAAGAGAAGCCATGGAGCTGCTCAGTGCCTCAAGGATACCTTTAAAAACTGTGAAAAAGGCAATTAACTGGGCCAAGAAACACAACTCACTAAGTGAAAATACTCAGGGCCACAAAAGTCAAGGCTTTGCCTTAAATGGAATAAATTAAGCAATATTGATGGGCACAGCTCTCTGCACAGCCAACGCAGGGATGGCAATTCCCAGGATTTATCCTTCCAGGGACTAATTGCAACTCATTCCCTAAATCATCCCAGCCTGCTCTCTGTCTGGAGCAGGACCCTTTGATAAATTTCAGATAAATTCATTGATGGGCTCCTAATGACTTCACAGCTAATTGTGTTCTCAACTTCTCCACAACTGGCAGCCAAATCACGTTGGTGTGGAAGGAACAAATGCAGTGTTGGTATCAAAAGATCATTTGAGTGCAAAAACCCTTCAGATGTGATAAAAAAAAGCCAGAATGAGTAATATCAGCAGCAATGGAATTGTTATTTCCAGCAGTGGCCCCTCTGAACATCAATTAATTTAACAGCTAATTGTGTTCTCCTGAGCTTGTCCAGAGCTGGCAGGGAAATCAGGTTTGTGTGGAAGGAACCAACTCAGTGTGGGTATCAAAAGATCATTTGAGGGGAAAAAAACCCTTCAAAAAGGCCAGAATAAATGAGATCAGGAGCAAGAATTATTATTGCCAACAGTGGCCCCTCTGCACACCAATGAAGAGTCCCCTGCACTGCCCACACTGCTCTTTTCTCACTGATCATTTCCAGACAGGAATTGAACCAAAAATGGGTAAAGAATGGGACCTACCATGAGGAGAATGAGCACATTGACCAGACCTAAAAGTTCAAAGAGTTTTATGGCTAAACGTTTATCTGAATTATTTATCCTGATTCTCCTAAAGGAATTTTTCCTGCAGTTTTTTGCTGGGTGGGGAAAGCCTCAAAAAACTTTACTTTGACATTTGCATTTTTAAATAAGAGTAAGCTTAATTTATTTATTGGGACAGAATGTGGCCCAGCTTCTAAAACTACCAGGAGGAACTGCTTTCAAGGAAATTTCCAGAGTTTTTTATTTCTTCACAAAATGATGAGAGGACAAGTAAAAGCCTTTTCTTTGTGTCATCAGGCAAATAAAAACACATTAAAATAAGACAGGGAAACCTTTCTAAGTACCTTAAAGTATTTCTGATCTAATTTTGGATAACAGAAAAATGAGTTTTACTCATTTACTTTTGTTTGTTACACAGTTGAGAATATGGTGAGATCTCTTAATACAAAAGTGAAATCACCTGTGTGATAAATACAGTAGGTCACTGGTGAGTGAAAAGCAAGCAGGACAGAAAAAGAATCTTGTAACAATGGAAAATTATCCCATTCTTGGGTTTATAAATGGAACGACAAAAAAAAAGTGTCACAAAAGCTTCTCTGCAGTAGCTGTTTAAATAAAAACTAACTTAAGGTTGTCATTAGATTGACCAAATGACATTTGCAAAGTATTTAACAAAATGCATTCTGAGCAGAACACCACAGCTTTTTTTTCTGGGGTTTAAGTTCAGCTCATTGTAGTCCATAAAATAAAAAAAAAAAATCCTTAATTTAAAACTGTCATTTTCCAAAGCCATTTGTTTCCATCAGCAAGCCTGGCCTCCAAATTAAGCACAAAAACCCTGTGCCAAATACATGGCATTCTTCTGAACTCTTTTGTTTGACAAAGCATTAAATTTGTTTCACCCGACTCCATTTGAGAACATGATTTCAATGTTAATTTTCATCTTTTGTGCCATTTAACAAAGCACCTCCCTTCCACCCCAGCATTATCTTAGGTGCTATTCCATTAAACTCATCCAAACCAAACGAAGCCCAGTCAGCAGCTGCACCAAACAACATCCAGGAGCACCCAAACTCTATTTGAGATTTGCCCCAGACTAGAGCAGCCCACAAACTAAAGCAGTTTTTATCCCAGTTGTAAAGCAGCACCTCTGGCACTAAATTCAGTGTAAAACAGCCCCATTCCAGGCCAAAAACCAGCCCCATTCCAGGCCAAAAACCAGCCCAAAGCACAATCACAAATAAATATCTTTTGGAGATACTTCCCACACAGGTTCCAAGAGACACTAAAACCTCAGTCCACAGTTGCATTTTGTTA